TACCTTGTTAACTGGAGATCCCAAGATCTTGGTTCAAAGGGACAACTAAGTTATGAAGATTCCACAAAGCGCTTAGGAAAATAATTTCCTAACTGATTCCTATGATATTAAAGTACTTTCTGCAGAATTGCAAGAGGTTAAGATAATCTTTTAATGATTACTATATCTTGATTAAGTCAAGTGGAGTATAGCAGAATACTCTTAATAGGAGGTCACCTATGTGAGTGTGAAGTGTGGCTACTTCAATGATAATTATTCAAGGTTTAAATTCTCTAAACACTCACAGAACCAAGAAGGGTTCAGGGCCAAAATGAACCAAGTCATAAGAACCATTAACGGTTTAGGGAAGACATTGTGTGAGTATCGTTATCTTGGCTTACACTAAAGGCTGAATGGTTTAAGACATCACGTTCACCAATTAGCCGAGTAAGTCCGATGGTATTTCACTAAGGGAGGTTCAAGGCCAGAAGCTACATTCCCTGATGCAGTGTTTTTTCGCAGCCTCTCTACATTGCATCATATCATCGTATTTGCATATACGTACCCAATTTTCATTCATGTGGGGGATTATAGGAATTGGTTTAAATGATTAACCAAAAATTGGAAAATGAAAAGGTGTGACAACGTGTCAATTTCGACCAAATATTCGGACTTGATTCGATGGTCAAATTACAAAAGTAAATATACCAACTTATTCTACTCGTCGAGTAGATCGTCATGATATATTTGGAATCTCGAAACCAATTTCGGATGAATGAGAAATTACGGACCAAAGTTGGATGAAATAAAGTGTTGCAACTTTTCGAAAGGATGCAGATTTTGACCAAGTATTGCAACTTTTTGAAAAGATGTATGTTTTGGCCCACACCACTTCATTTGCACCCTTTCTACATCTATAAATAGAACCATATGGACATGGTTTTGGCTACACCAATTGCATTGAGCATTCATTCTCCTCTTGCAATTTTCTCCTTTCTAATTCCATAGCATTTCCTTGGTAGAGAGGGAATTCCATTCGAGTTATTTGGAGTGCTTCTATGGCTTGACGTGGTCGTTGTATCTTGGGAGATGATTGTCGAAAAATCGTTAGCACCGATGCGGGGCAAATTCATCTCAAGGAAAGAGTTATACTCGCATCGGCCAATCGTATCACTTACATCTAATTTTTTTCTGATTTCATTTCTACTTGATTTTATAAAATGATTAATTTTATTTATATGGTTTATGCAAGGTTCGATATGAAGAACCATATGTTTTAATTCAAGAATGAAAATGGTCAGATTCGATAATCATTGGTTAGTTTCTCAAACTCCATTTCGGTAAGACGAAATCTTGTTTCGATTTCGTGAACATAAACGGTATATTTTTTGTGAATATAATATGCACATAATCGATATATTCCTCAACATGTGGAATGTGGATCAAACAGGGCCTAAGTGTTGTTAAAACTGTAGTTTAGTTGTTGCCGATAGCTTGACTAGACGAGAACAAAAAATAAGTGAAAGTGATAAAGTTTGTTGGTTTGGCGTATATAAATAGGCATTGAGTCCAATTTAGTTGAGACTCTAAGAGTCAACAATCCCACTTTCCTTCCTTTCCAGTGTATGTTGTCTTTGGACTTAGAACACATACATTGCAACGTAAGGTCGGAGCCCTTCGAGACATAAGAAGGGTGGAGAAGGCAACGATGTTACGTGCTCCAACGCTCAAATTAATTTAAAAAAAAATTGTGTTAGATATATCAAGCCCCTGCTTGAGTCATACTCTTGAAAAACTCTTTTTTTTTTTTTCATTTTTTTAAAACTCATTTTTAATCACACATTCTCCCAATAAAATATGAGTGATGCTAAATGAGAAATGTCGGTTTTTGTAAAGAGAAGTTTTATCAAGATTGCTGTTACCTTCAAATGACACTAAAGTTTGAGCATTTGCAGACAACATTGCTACAACTCTCAATACTTGACACGTGGTTTCATCCTAATGGCCAAGGACGAACACAAGGGGGGGGGGGGAATTGTGTATTTAGAATGAGTCTTAAATGCTTATATCCAATTTGAGTTATATTTAAATGATTATATCCAATTTTCTCCTATAACATTTACTCACGCATTTTATCAAAATCTTAACTCTTCTAATTTTTTAAAATTTGTCTATAGTTTCTTTACAAATTATAACATTTACTTCACTTCCTAATCATATTTTGAACTTAAATTTGCATTTTCTCCTATAAAATTGTGTATTTAGAATGAGTCTTAAATGATTATATCCAATTTGAGTTATATTTAACAAATTGTGTTTATTTGATTGAATATTGATTCTATGTTTTTTTCTTCTTATTACTTAAATTGATTTTTTTTGGTATGAAATACACAATAAATTCTTTAAACGTAAATATGCATTTTTTGTTATGAGCAAAATATTAATAAAATGACCGTTCGAAATTAAAATGATGAAAGTGATAAACAAAATATTAATGAAGGAACGTACTTTTAAACTTAATTCTACGTTTTCTCGAGTTAAGTATAACTTATTCAAAAATAAAAAATAAAAGTATTCCATCTATATAAGGTTTGATTATACCCCTAATTCAAAAAGTTTGCATCCGCCCCGGCTAATGGCTTATGAGTCAAGCCCGATAACGTCACAATATCGTAGGCATCAATAGATACACATTATCGTAGGCAATAAATAAATAAATAAATAAGGGATTGACTCTCAACTACTAGTGTAGAAGATGTTTTATTAATGATGTATATCTTATGTGGCTCAACGTCATCAATATACAGTTTGCATGAGGCACGTCGAAATTAACAACTGCCTTTGATACTTAAGGCCCATCAGGCGTGGCTGAAGGTTGTGTTCCTTTGCATTGCCTTGAAGCAAAGAGTAGTGTTTTTGCAATAAGTTAAGTTGCCTCAAAGGCATTGGATCGTGCCCTCATCACCTTGGAAAGTAGTGGTCAACGCAAAAATGGGATGTTCATTACCTCAGAGGCTAAGACGTGGGCCTAGAGAAGTGCTCTTGTTGTGTTTTTCTTAGTTGACAATCATATGTATAGTTATCAGATTCGGCTCGGACATCGAGTCGGTCAATGTATTGGGTCACTAGGTTACTAGTTGCATCGATGAACTCATGTTTGGATCGGTGGGTCATTACTTAAAAATAATTTAATAATTTTTAAAGTATAATTATTTATTTATTTTTTTGAGATAAAATTAAAGTTTTCAAGTTCTTTTTCACAATTTTTTCTATACATTTAAATAAATGATTTTTTGAACTCATTTATCAGTGATAATGGCTAAATTTTGATTTTATAATTTTGTATATTATATTAAAAAATATATTTTTCCTTTTTTGTGATTTACAAATTATTTATTAGTTATTGACAAAAATTTTGTGTATTATCTATTCAATTTATCTTAGTTAAAATTAATTTTTTGCAAATAAAATAAGTATATAAAATAATTATTTGAAATTACAAAGTGAATGTAAATGTTGGACTACTTTCTTAATTTTTTTTTCTAAAAGTAGCAAATTATTCTTAGGTTATATATAATTTATTAGACAAAAGACAATAAAGTGTTGCTTGCACTAGTGGTAAGTAAGGTAGTGTTCTACTTACTTAGAGGTCAATGGTTCAAATCTTTGGTATCTACAATTTCAATGTAAAAGAGTTTTGAAATTTGATTTAAAAATCAATCGGATCGAACCGGGATAAATCGGCCCGAAAATTATTCAAAAATCACCTATTGGCCCGATCAAATCCGAATTTCGACCAGACCACTTGCATTTATATAAAATAAGCTGACCCGGCCGATTTGAATAACTATGATTCATATGACTTGCCACATGATGGTGGCTTAACATAAGTAGGGATGGCAATGGGGGCCGCCTCATCCCATTGGGCATTTTCCCACCCCATACCTGTTCCGTTACTCATTTAAGGCAACGTGAGGTGCGTGGGGCTTCTACCCGTTTATGTACCTTTTTATAATTCATTTTATTGCTCCCATTCATTAAAATAAGACAATAGTATAATTATTATATTTTTAATTAATTAATTAATTTTTAAAAGTTAAATTATTCGAATATTTTTTATAAACTAATGTTTTTATTATTTATCATATTTTTTAGATAACCTTAGTTGTCATATTCTATTAGAATTAATGAAATTTCGTGGAATTTTCCATTTAAAGTACTGAATTCTTAATTTACAAAAAAAAAAAAAAAATTACTAGGCGAGGCATTGGGTTTGGCAGGTTTTTTTGCCATCCCTTAACACAAGCCATTTGATGGATTTTGAGATAAAGTCAAGCTAAATAAGAAGATACGATGGTTGAGACAATTAAACGATAAAAATATTTATAAGATGCTAGCATAAGATATAATAAAACAATAATCACAGTAAAATGAAGAAAATAAGTAACGCAACATATATTATAAATTTATAATGGCATATATCGACCTTCGTAACTGGGAGGGACCCGTCAGGGGGGAGCTGTTGTGCAATGTTGGGAGAATGGCAAAGAACTTCTTAGTTGTATTGCTCAATAGATTTGTTCACCTAAATTTGATTGAAACGATGGATGATCTTTTATAGACTCGTTAAGATTGATATCTATCTAATTTAATGGCTTATTAGAAATTCGATTCACGATGCTAATCATGAAAATGGGTATAACGAGTCCTTTATACCAGGTAATCAATCGATTCGCGTAATTCCCCGATACAACATATTACTCCTAGGGTTTTACCAAACTACGAATTCATATAACTCACACATCTAAACACATGTTTATCCACATTGCACCTCAAAATCCACTACCAATCCTAATCTTATCCACCCACAATCAAATTTTGTGAATTTGTCCTGGTCCTGAATTACCATGACAGATGGGAACCCACAGACATTGCTGCATCAGCATCTATCGGTTCCAACCATAATCAGTACGAATTTGTCCGGGCCCTGGACCCGGGAGAGCAATTTCAACTTTCAGGCCTCAACTTCAAGTAACCTGAACCCGAAACTCACCAGAGCTCCAGTTTGACTCGGAGCCCCGAAATTTCATTTATATTTAAACTGGCGTTTGTAAAATTCTATCCATTTCAAAAATTTGCGGTTGCACTTAACTCTTCAAGTTTACTTCCCTTCAAGCTTCAGCTTAAATTCATTAAAACCCGACCGTTCAATTCCAGGTATCTTTAAACGGTACTGAAATGTATAATCTTAGCAAACATACTTACTTTTTTCCTCTGTTTCAAACATTCAAACAAATGGATTGCTAGAATTGTTTCGATAGTTTTATACTAGTAATTGTTTACTGTTTTGATGGGATCTGCAGAGAATATGAAATTTAATCGCTTCATGTAATTTTGGGTTCTTACAAGGACTGTCTTCAATCCATGCATATGGTTAATTTATATGTAGATATGTGTATGTATGTGATGCGTGTTGTCCACTGTTTTGCAAAAAGCTGTGTATGACTAGAAAAATTCACATTTCTGGAAGAATTTCGATCTCGGGAAATATATATTTTCTTTTTTTCGTTCTTTTAAGATTTATGGGTGATTTTTATATAAAAAAATTGACTTTTCTAGCATCAAAATTCGATGCAGAATTTAGTTAGGCCAATTTTTGTTTTTAATTTGTTGCGTTATATTATGGAAATTGGCATTTATAAGTAGATTTTCTGGTGAAATGGTGGTAAACTCTGATATTGGCATTTATAAGTATATTCCCTTGCATTTTGTCAGTTTCTTACAAAGTGCTACTCCTAATTTGTTTGTGGCGTGTGTGACTTTTCTATCTGTTCCCCCTTTTAGTTGATTACAGGTAGAAATGATCATAAAGAGTCTGTTCAGGAGATATGAAAGGTGGAATCCCGTACATCCAACATATGGGGCCTTTTGGGGCGTAGGTATAGGCATTGGTTGCGGAGTTGGATGGGGTCCTGGCTTTGGCCCTGAGGTGATTGGTTATGTTGGAGCTGGCTGTGGTGCTGGATTTAGTGTTGGCCTCACTTTCTTTGGTGTCGGCATTGGTCTTCCAGCCAATCACCTTTTTGCAGTCCCTTACGGTGGTACTTTTCGTTCTCAGATTATTGTTAACGTCGGCTAACTTATCCTACTTAGCACAATTGAATGTTTGAAACATTACTAGTGCAAACCTTTATTCGTTTTACTTTTGAAATGTTCATATTAGCTCTTATGGTTACAAGAAAAGGTGCATTGGAAGTTGCTCGGTTTAGTGGTCTACTTGGCATGAAAAATGGCCCTGGGGATGGCTGGGGTAACATTGGATCACACATCTCTAGCATGCAACGAACTTCAAGTACAGCATTTTCTAGCTTCAAAGAAAAGTCACCGGACATGAAATCCATGTTAATTTCTCCGGCTAAACCTATCAGAAATTATCTAGAAAGAGTCAGCTGCTGCTTCTTTCATTCCGATAGAGGTATTCAAACTTGAGCATTGTATACTTTGTGCAGTAACTTTCACTTTCTTCCTCTTTCTCATGATCCTATTCATAGTTGCCTAGTGCATTGTGCAATAGCTATGGACCGGATACTAGACGATGCCTACTTTTAGTTCAAATTTATCAGCGTTTTGGGTTTATTCTTATTTTTCAATTGACGGTGTGATGTGATGCTACTGTACCTTTGGTGTCAAGACGTAGGAATTATAAGAACATATAATCCGACAGTAAAGAGTCGAGCTGTTCATGGTTTAATATCAAAGTAAGCTTCAACCTTGTTAACATTTTGGATAATGGATAGAAAGCCAAGGATGGAATCTTATATGGATCTTTTGCATCCAATTCACAGTTAGCATGATATCTTGGTAGAAATTTCCTTTATGAAAACGTCATTAGTTTGTCGAGCTACCATCAATCTAGAGGTGCATACAAACAATTGGATCAAGTAAAGGGTGATTTTCGAAGTCGTTTTCTAGATTATTTTGTCGATTAATCTTCCATTCACCTATCCACAAACTCGGAAATAACATTACATGCATTCTCGTGCAGGTTCAAAAAATTGATGCCGTAAGAGACCCTTTCGGAGGGTGCCCTTGTGTCGTGGGAATCAGATCAATTTGATGACCAACCTTGGTACCAAGGTAGCATTATACAGGGAAAATCTTCTTGCATTCGAAGAGAAAAAGCTTTTCGTGATTTTTATGAGCAGATTCAGTACTTACAATTGAGTAATTTGCATAAACAAGTCACTGTCATGGGGGAAATGACGTGCATTGATATCTCTATATGGATATCGATGATTAATGTTTTGTTTGCATCCAATGGCGAAGTCAGGAAATAAAAGTTCAGTGGCGGTACAAATTAATGAGAAAATAACTTTTGAAACAAAGATATACCAAAGATATACCATAAATAGCATAAATTTTTAAAATTGTTCTTTATGGGTATTCATTTATTGATCTCAAATTTGATTTATGGTCGATTCCATTATAAAAAATGCTATTAAAAAAGAAAGAAAAGAATCTGTTAACTTCCTACATGTCAAACAAGGCAAATTCGTACTAACAAGTTCAATCGAATTACGATGCTCAAGTCTAATTATAGAACTTGTGCAATTAAACATTCCATATCAAATTCAAAATCAAATCAAACTGACCTAAATAAGGTTTAACAAGAATCTACTCAAATTAAGCAAATCACTTAAAAATAAAAATAAAACAGAACAGCAGCCAGCCTAACAAAGTAATAATATAAAATGAAAGTCTATAATAAATGGATAGAGGGAAAGTTATAAATAAAAATTATAGTTTTGTCCAAAGTTTAGTGGGGGCTTGGACTTTACTGCCCCCTAATTCACTTCACTACTATTTTGCGTCAATAATGAAACTTATCACCTATTTTGTAGGGTCACATGCGTTTAATAACTTTGCAATCATATATTGAATTGTTTTTCTTGTACAACCCCGGTTGACAATGTACTCACAGGAGGGAAGACTCACGATTTTTTTATTCAGCCTAAACTTCCTTCCCATGTGTCTAATTGTCAATCGAAGTTGTTAACTCCAGCTGTATACATAGCACAACTGATTATATATTTAATCAATTTTTTTTTATCAAAATCTAATGAAAATATAATTTTAGTCAGATAGACAAAGTGTTATATCATTTTTTATAGGGACCCCCCACTAAACAGAGGTATAGAGTGTTATAGTTGGAGTTAGTTGATCCAAAATAAAAACAAGGGAGTGTTGCACAAAATGATCTTCAACATTTGTCAAATGGTGTCGAACATTTGTTTCTTGGCATGGACGTCCCTAAGGCCATCTCCAATGTGAACACCAAAATACCAAAATGCACTATTTTTTGGTGCAAAAGAGCTCCAATGGAACACTATAGGATTTATGTCATTTGCGCTATATATCTTTTAATACAATAAATTATTATTATTATTTGCATTTAAAACAAATTTTAAATGTAAGAAATAATAATTAATGAATTAATTAAAATAAAAAAATTAAAATATAATTAACATGATTATTTATTAAAGTTAACATGAAATATATTAAACGACGACATACATATGACTTCGTGGTACATGACATGGTAGTAGAGGAATTCGGTTTTGTGGTTGCATTGAATTTTTTTTCCCTGCATTTTGTGGAGTTGTTGTTGAATGAAATTTCTTTATGATTTTGGAAAATGAAAAATAAGTATAAAAGTTATCATGTTCTCAACTTGATCAACGGTGAAGAAATTGTAGTACTTTATTGTAATTTTAATTAAAATAAAATGAAAAAGACATTACAAGAGCTGCAGAAGAATTTTAAATTTTATGGACCAAAAAATTAAATATACCTAAATAACGACACCAAATTGCAAGTTCTCCCTCCCCAATCCCCGAATCCTAATTACGCAGCCAAAGAACCCTAATTCTTCATCGAAATTCCCTCGTCTACCAACAAAGTCACTCCCTGTAGTACACGCACGCATATACAGAAGCGTGGCTAGACACTGGGATAGTTACAGCCATGGCTTCAGCAAGAGATTCCGATCCGACATTAGGGTACCTGACCCGAAAAGAAACGGAGGTGAAGCTCCCCCGACCTACCCGGGTCAAGAACAAGACCCCCGCCCAAATTCAAATTACCGCGGAGCAGATTCTACGTGAGGCCCGTGAGCGCCAGGAGGCCGAAATCCGGCCCCCCAAGCAGAAAATCACTGACTCTACTGAGCTCGGAGATTACCGGCTCCGTAAGCGCAAGGAATTTGAGGACCTAATACGAAGAGTCAGGTGGAATAAAAGCGTGTGGGTGAAATATGCCAAGTGGGAGGAGTCTCAGAAGGATTTTACTCGCGCTAGGTCGGTATGGGAGCGTGCTCTTGAGGTGGATTATCGCGATCACACTATGTGGTTGAAGTATGCTGACTTTGAGATGAAGAACAAGTTTGTTAATCATGCGCGTAATGTTTGGGATCGCGCTGTTATGTTGTTGCCTAGGGTGGATCAGTTGTGGTACAAGTATATTCACATGGAGGAGATGCTGGGCAATGTGGCTGGTGCACGGCAAATTTTTGAGCGGTGGATGTCGTGGCAACCTGATCAGCAAGGCTGGCTTTCGTATATAAAGTTTGAGTTGAGGTACAATGAGGTCGAGAGGGCAAGAGAGATTTTTGAACGGTTTGTAGACTGTCATCCAAAGGTTGGCGCTTGGATTAGGTATGCCAAATTTGAGATGAAAAATGGAGAAATAGCACGTGCAAGGAGTTGTTATGAGCGTGCAGTGGAAAAGTTGGGGGATGATGAGGAGGCAGAGGAGTTATTTGTGGCGTTTGCTGAATTTGAGGAGAAATGTAAGGAAACAGAGAGAGCGAGGTGTATATATAAGTATGCCTTGGATCATATCCCCAAGGGGAGGGCAGAGGAATTGTACAAAAAATTTGTTGCGTTTGAGAAGCAATATGGTGACAGGGAAGGAATTGAGGATGCTATTGTTGGGAAGAGGAGGTTTCAATATGAAGATGAGGTTAGGAAGAACCCGCTTAATTATGATGCATGGTTTGATTACATTAGGTTAGAAGAGAGTGCCGGGAATAAAGAAAGGATAGAGGATGTTTATGAAAGGTCCATTGCGAATATTCCTCCTGCTCAAGAGAAGCGTTACTGGCAGCGGTATATATACTTGTGGTAAGCTCAAAATTCTTAACTGTACATGTACAAACACCATTTTCTTTTATTATAGCTGTTTCTGACTGGTTGAACTTGTATACTCAGGATTAATTATGTTTTGTACGAAGAACTTGATGCGCAAGATGTAGACCGTACCAGAAACATTTACAAGTAAGCTGACGTTGATCCTGTGAGATAGTTTGATTAATGACGGTTTTGTATCATGTGACTGATTCTATCCGTCATTTGAAATATATTTTTCACCAATCTGTGATTTTTTATGTGGATAATCTGGGGCCCTTACCATAACATCTTAGGGAATTTCTTTTGCCTAATAAGTTATAACCTGGGACCTTGAATGCAGAAAATGCAGCTAGAATGCTTGTTATTACTTCTGCGTTTAACCTCAGTTATTTACTACTAGGTGAATTACGTTAATAGACTATTTTGGTACAAACACGCCATGCTAAAGGACTATTTTGATTTGCTTTACTTCCTAGCCCTTATGGAGAGATGGATCGGTGTGAACTCGCTTAATGATGGTACCTTTTGTGTTTGGGTACTTTTTTAAAAATTCATGTAACTGTGGATATCATTTCTCTTAACCAAAAACAACATATGGCCATAATTTCCCAAAATCCATCAACGAGTGGAATGTTGGCAGGCTCCCGAACATTAAGCACAGTGGCAATGTATTCTTCACTTGTAACACCTTCTATTATGTTCTCTCTCAGTTGTTTCATCTTTACAATTAGGAGTCTCCATCCAAGACTGCCCAATGATTTGCTCCCACTTGATCGTGTCCTTATCCCCATAAGGCATGGTCTTTTATTACTCTTAAAGGGATAAGTCGTGGATTGAGTAGCTCCTTCGGAATGTTTTAGCTGATGACTTGGGAGTTAATAACTTGAAAGGGATGTCTAGAAGCACAGGTTTTTGAAATTTAACAATGAAGGAAGAGAGCAAGTAGTTTAAAATCAGGAATCATGTCTAGCATCGTATATGTACCATGGTAAGGGTTTCTATACAGAATGTCAAGAAAGCTCATTAGACAAATGCATTGCTAAATTATCAGAGTTGTGATGATTTGAGGAAAATGGAAGTCATTAGACCGCTTCCTAGTTCAATCAAAGAAACATATGATCTATGGAAGTATTTACTTATATTTTTCACAAGCATAAATTTTAACAAACAACCAATAGCAGGCATCGTTAGTAAACCTTCCCAGGTTTGACAAGCATTTGATCTCAAGAATGCGATGTAGCTGTTTCCATGTCATAAAATTTAGTTTATTGGTGACCCTATGGCATTATTGAGGCGCTGGGTCTGTTGGGAATTCCGTAGTGGGTCTCTTCACAAGCAGTCAGAACCTAAGCTCGAATTAACAGGCTATTTCCCCACCTAACTTGGTCTAAAAGTTTTAAATGATGCACAAAAGTGCACGTAGTTGCGAAGAATAGGAGGGCCATCCCAGGGTAGGCAATTTTAGGCTCAATGTACTTTGTTCATTTAAGCCTCAAGTTTGTTGATAGCCATATCATTTAGTTAGCTCGGTAGTAAGATCCCAATTTGGTAATAACTTGAACATACAACACGTTAAGCCAAAAGAAAATGCCTTGAATATATGCAATGCTTTCTAGACACTTTGTTGGCTGTGCCAAATTCACCATCTATTCTTAATTTACAATAATTGTGTTTAATGAGGTACAAATTTCAATACTCCTTAAATTATTCAATTACAATTAAGTTGATTGTCCATAAACATATAAAAAATTATATTAAATAAAATACGAGAAAAAAATTAATAAATGCTTCTTGAGAAAATAAAATGAAGATTCAAAATAGAAAGCATTGTTGGAGTGTGTAAAAAAAATTTACTTTTTAAGTTTAAAGATGCTCTTTATAGGTAGAGAGTCATATAGATACTCTAACTATGCTAATCTTGTTGAATATATATATTCACATAATCTGTTATGTATATAAGTGCTTCATTTTGATGAACCATATGCTTGTTTCCCTTTTCGGGTTAAGCTTTGGGTAGCTTTGTTTTGGTGCACTTTTATACAATTGCCAGCTACGTGTGGGTTGCATTTCAATTAAGTTTAGAACTTATGAAATTTAAAAGAAGTTATAGAAGTTTCCCTGACCTTGAAATAAAAGGGATGCCTAAATAGGCCCCTATTTGAGCCCTGTTCTTTAAAATTCATTTTTCCCCATATTTATTTTCAACCACACGTTTTCCCTATAAAATAATTTTGTATTTAACTTAAAATTTTTCCCTAGTTTTTAACCACAAAGTCTACAAAAAATCATTTTTTTAAAACAAAATCTATTATAAAAAATGGGGCTCAAACAAGCTCTATATGAGTTTCGAACTTTTAATCCGGTTGATGCAAGATTAGACTCATAGCACACTTTGTTTTGTAAAAGCTACGCCAAAGTAACCAGCCCAGTGGTAAATTAGATTGAGAAGTGAATCTTGATTGAAAAAGCTATGCCAAAGTAATTAACTTGAAGCTTGTTAAGGCTTAAATCCCATATTGGACTCATAAGTTAATCTTGTCAAGCCAAAGTAACTTGAAGCTTGTTAAGAAATAAATCCATATCGGCTAAGTATTGAAATATAGACCAACAAATAAGGGCTTGTACTAATTCTCCTAATAAGTTGATATTTTAATATGGAACCCCAAATTTTAATATGGTATCAAAGTCTGTTAAACTCCAATGAACTATTAGATCCAATTAAGACTCAAAGGAGCACATGAATTTCAATATTGGCCTGCTGAAACGAGTTACCATCTTGCGGTGACATGTTAAGGGAGAAATTCCACATCGGCTAGTTGCCGAAATATGGTCGTTTAAGATGAAACCTAGGTCTTAGTAAGGCTGAGAAGGGTCTCCAATAATTTTGCTTTCTCTTGGGTTTTTTGCTACTTGTATCATTTGAGTTGATTAAAGATTTGGCACTTCCACTTTTATGTTTTTAATTTTCCTTACTACTGAAAGGTAGTTATATACTGAATCAATTAGGTAATGTACTTTACTATGATGACCAGTTTTAGTTAAGAAACAGGTCAGTTTTCCTTCACGGTTGCCACCCAAAAAATTAATGGCAAAACAGTGATATTTTTGTTAAAAAAAATGCGAACAGTCTATGCACACCTTTGAACATATATGCAAGCACATATTCCAAATTTTGCACTTTCATTGTTGATTCTTTGTGGCTTCTTTCATTATAGATCTGGGTTCCGAGTTCCTGATTTACTTTGAAATTTGACCAGCCTGTGTCTCAAGATCATTCCTTTTGACAAATTTTCATTTGCGAAGATTTGGTTGATGGCTGCTCAGTTTGAAATACGTCAGTTGGATCTTGATCGGGCACGGCTAATTCTGGGATCGGCAATTGGCAAAGCTCCGAAAGATAAGGTATCACAGTTGTTTGATTACATAATACCTTTTCTTCTTGTATCTCCACATTAAGGCTGTTTTATCGCTATTTTATCTTCTGTATAATGTCCTTTCTGCATTTACAAACAGATATTTAAGAAATACATTGAGATAGAGCTGCAACTTGGTAACATTGATCGTTGCCGGAAACTGTATCAGAAGTATTTGGAATGGTCTCCCGAACACTGTTACGCTTGGAGCAAGTTTGCTGAGTTGGAAAGATCTCTGGCTGAAACTGAGAGAGCTAGATCTATTTTTGAGCTTGCAATTGACCAACCCGCATTAGACATGCCAGAATTGTTGTGGAAGGTACGACATCATTGACCTACCAGAATATTTTTGATATGTTGAAAAGATTTTGTTTTGTTACTGTGTCTCCATGCTTTTGTTTGATAAATTTTTGTTAGCGGCTGGCATTTTGGCCTTTTGGCTGGCATCTGTCGATTTGAATTGAATTATAAATAAAGCACATTAACTGTAAAGTGCTAATTTATAGGATCCTATTGTCAAATTGTTCCTGAATCTCATTGAAGCAGTCATCATTTGTCATTTCAAATGTCTGCACCAGAAGATTCGGAGAGAATTATTTATTAATTCAAAAGAAACTCTGGTCTGCTCTCTACTAATTTTGCTGCTGCATTTTCAAGACTCCCATAAAGTTAAAAATATTGAATTTAAATATTGAAAATCTGATTTGTTTTGATTGGTCCAACACTCAATTACTGGAGCTGTTGGTCTATTACAAAACAAAACCTCATTATTTACTTCATGACAGGCTTACATTGACTTTGAGATATCAGAGGGTGAATATGAAAGAACTAGAGCTCTTTATGAGAGGCTTTTAAACCGCACAAAACACTTGAAGGTGTGGATTAGTTATGCCAAATTTGAAGCATCTGCTGTGGAAGACGGTTTCCAGGATTCAAATGTGCAAGAAAGTGATTATGAACTGAAGAGAAAATGCCTTCAACGTGCTAGAGGTAATATACTTTGATCCCAACACATCCTATTACTAATGATTATTGTCTATTGTTGTCATTTTCATTTTATTAATATCCTCTCTCCTATTTTTTTCTTTCCATAAGGGGTGTTTGAAAGAGCCCTTAGCTATTTCAGAACTTCTGCACCTGAATTGAAGGAGGAAAGGGCAATGCTCTTGGAAGAGTGGTTGAATATGGAAAGTAGCTTTGGTGAGCTTGGTGACGTTGATTTGGTCCGTGTTAAGCTTCCAAAGAAACTCAAAAAGAGGAGGCATATCGAAAATGAGGACGGTCCTGCTGGGTATGATCTCAACTTCCTTTCTCTTTTGTTGTCTATTCTCAACTTAATTCCATTTAGTAATTTTTGCTCTTTGGAAAACTTGTTCATTCTTGTGGACCACGGTCCTGCTTTTTCTTGAGTTTAGTTTCTGTAAACTTTGACAGCTCGGTCACCTTTGAGTTAAAGTTAGTGGTTTCCAATGGGAAAAAGCCAACTTCTTGGTTAGGTTGTATTGATTCCTTGAATATTTTAGAGGTGCTAGCCATGCCTCGTGGTTTAGTGTAAAAGGGCCTGATAAGCAATTTGTTTACCTAAGTTGAGTATGAACAGATAGATAAGCTAGTTGTTGGGAAGATGGGTTGCAATTGCAAAATCGAGTTTACCTTCATAATATAGATTTATCATGGTTGGTGCACAATACTTTAGGAGACTGAGCAGTACATTAGGCAAGATTTTATCTGCATTTCGTACTTTAATAGTGTCCAGGACTATAAAATCCACCTTACAAGAAAAGCTGACTAGATTTTATGCTTGCTAGCCTGCTCATATTTAACACATGACTAACCCTGCCCGGATTAAATGCATCCAATGCCAATCAAAATTGATCCGCTGAATGCAGTCCGTGCTAATAATTTTGAAATCTGCAGGTACGAGGAGTACATTGATTATCTTTTCCCTGAAGAAACACAAACGACGAATCTCAAAATTTTGGAAGCAGCATACAAGTGGAAGAAGCAGAAGATTGTTTCTGATGAGGATTAGTTGGTTGAGTTGTGATTCAATTTCCTCTTCATCTAAAGTTTTGAGTTTAGCAGAGCGTCGAAGAATTGCTTTTGTTGTCATCTGATCTAGTAAGCGTACGTTAGTGCTCCCAACTTACTCCCCTCTTGTTTGAAGATGCGGAAGTATCCGTGATCAGACAGAATGTTCATTGTAACAGAGAATGCAGGCTCTGTCAGTTTACCCTTTTTTCATGGGGGAAAAAACCAGTTGTATGGTTAATTTTTGTATGTATAGTTGAATGTACTTCACACTGAACGTGACTATTGTTCTGAGTTTGGTCAATCGTTTCTGTAAGTTGGATTGCATAGCTGTGAATAACATTTAATTTCAAGTCTATGAAAGCAAGGTAAATTTATTTTCATTTTGAACTCGTGGAGACGCGTAATTGATGACCTTCTTTGGGACGATGCCAATGATACCTAGTCAGTAGATGACGACCATCTTCTTCTTTGGATGCATGTCTTTTGTACTAGAATCTGTTGCATAGTTTTGACTGAATATTTGAATCAAATAAACCTCTATTCTGTATATTAGTACTGTATTTGTAATTCTTCAATTTGTGTCATTCAATGGATTAACAGATGCTACAACTGAATTATGTAAGCAATTTATATTTTAGTAAATGAACTTTTAAACGTCAAAAAGAAAAGAGAGAGTGTTTTGAACAGCAGAGAGATTATTCGAATTGTCTGAACCCTATACTGGACTCAAAGAAGCAACAAGCCCTCCATCCAGTCTGATTTAACAAAAAATTTGTCAAGCATTTCGACATATTCTACCACTGGACCATGTGAAGTTACTGCCATCAATAGGAAATTCATCCACTCCAGTGTTCATTAACATAGCTGAAAAATCCTCCATTAATCTGATTAAAGGTTGATTACCACATTCTCTCTCTTATCTTCATAATATTGCTTTCAAATCTCCACCTATTAGCCATTTCCAAAGCTCCCTTCTCTCTATAATGGACATACACCACAAATATACTAGCAACAATAATATCAAGTGTTTAAGAATTAAAACACAAAAGATCTAAAGATCTAGCCCTCAAACCTAGAAAACACACTTGTTCTCTCACAAATCGATTACACCAATGTAATCTAGACCAACAGCTCAATTAGAGAGCAAAATCATCACAAAGGACACTGCAATCTATATTAGATCTCACCAAGAACATCTAAAACCAAAGAGATTACTAATGAAAACCAAGAGTTTTCGGAGAGAGAATAAACAAAGAACAAGACTAATGAAAAACCCTAGAAATCTCTTGAATAATGGCACAGAAAGGAGAAGTCAAGTGATATAAAGGGTCACATGCATCAAACGGTCCAGCCATCAACAGGTGGCACGATCTCAACCATTCATCAAAGTCGGGTTTTAAGTAATGCGAGATTGTGCACGAGGGGCCAAAACCGGGTCACATTTCATTTAAAAAGGGCCACGAGAATTGGGCTGCATCATTGGGCCTTTAACACGGAAATGTCGAGCATAATTCAACATAAAGGTAATAAATTGGCTATGTACCTCTGTGATAGAACATGACACTTCATTTCTCCAGAAGATTTATATCTATTTACCCATTTTCATTACAAGCACAAACAGATCCATATTTTCAACTACATCTTGATAAGAAACTTTAGAAGTAATAAATTGCACCGTAAACATTTGATTATTATATTCCTCGTGATTCAAAATTTCAAATGATTAATAGAAGCACGAATTGCACTTTTGCTTGGAAGGCTCTTGATAGCTAATGTAATTTCTGCTCTATAACAGAGTTATTGTCTTTTGTTACTACGATAGCAGTTCAAGTAGAGAAATATATATTTTCAAATCAAAAGACACGTACTTTGCACAAGAAATAAGTTAAAAATGAAAATGGTTTTAATCGGCCTCATTTTGGCATGGAGCAATACTGACACTTGCATTGATGATTGTGCTACATTACCAGACCCCATTTGTCAGATTCCTTATAGGCCTCACACAAAGCAGGGGTGGGTCGGTATTTATGGGGTATTTTTTTAAAGAGGCGGGTCCTACCCTGTAAGACGTCTGGCAGAGGGGGCTTGGCAAAGAGGCAATATCCATCGATAAATTCTAAAAATAGAAGTTTCTCACAAGCTTTCCTTTTTGAATATATAATTTCTTTACTTTCTTTTTACTCATAAGTGATTGGTGATTTTGCAGGTAAAATATGTAGCTTAGATTCTTTATGCTACTTGATGGAGGACAAGCTAATTGCTCATTTGTCTTGAAATTGATCTGCAAAAAGAGATACGATGATGTCTGTTTTTTCGGATTTGTTCTTTTCATTCTCTCCATTGAAGCAATTGAGACTTGTCTAAAACTGTTGAAGGTTTATTAAACTCTGGTTCTGATAGGTCGATGAAGGCCATTTATTAATATGAAAATAAAGAATGGTATGCACCAGGGGCGGATCTAGCCACTCAAGTGAGCTAGGGCGGAGCGTCGAGCTGTTATTGAGCGATCGTCCAATATAGCAAGATTGTTTATTAATATTTAATTAATTTATATTAAAAGAATCTTCAATCAATATATAAATACACTAAAATATAAAACATTATATACATATGAAAATATAATTCTATACAAGTCAAAATAATAAGGAATAAAAATACATTTTTTGAATCATATACGTATGATCAAATTTCAAATTTTATGAACTTAAACAAGACAAGATGAAATTAATACGTAAAGGGTGGTTAAATGATAAATATATGATTAAAAATAAAATCGGTTATTGAAAAATATATGGTTGAAAATAAAATAGAGAAAAATATATTTTGAAATAAATGGGAATCAAACAAGACGTAAAATTTAAATATAACAATTATTTTATTGAAATTGAACGTATATAATTTTGTTAAAAGAATAAACCATACTCATTAAATGACATAGTTGCCAAGTTTTATATAATTCAAAAGAAGAGCACGGAATCAAATATTTATTGTTACATTAAAACAAGCTAAGACCTAATATATATAAATTTGTTAAATATATTATCACAATTCAACAAATGGCATAATGGTCAAACCACTAATAATTTTAAGAATAGCTCCAGGTTCGAATCCCCCCTCCTCATTCCATTGATTTTAAATTGTAAAACTAAAAACGGTGGTGCTAGTGGTACATAAGGGTTTACCTAATCGTGTACACCCCTCTCATATGGGGTGTGGAATCCACCTGAATAAAAAATATTTATTCGGGTGGACCCTACACTTCATGTGAGGGGAGTGTACACCTTTAGGTACACCCCATTATGTACCACTAGATTAATTCAACTAAAAATATTGAACAATAAAAATGGATTGATGAAGGATCGAACTTGGGACCTCCAAAATGCAAAACCCAACACTGTCCAACTTGGCCAGGTGCAATATTGAAACAAGAAGTGATTATCAGAAATATAACCTTAAAAATTCATTTATATGAACAAAAAAAAAAGGGCAGCCAGTGGCGGTTCTGGCGAAGCCAGCTAGGGCCGCCCTAGCTGGCCAATAGCTAGATCCGCCCCTGGTATGCACACATGCTTATTAGCTTTGGTTTGCCTACGGTCAATCAATGCCGACCTTCTTGCCATACGACCACATAAATAAAAAAATTGACATTATTGAACAAGTTCGGTTGGTTAGCAATATTTAACAGAAATATGTATATTTGTGATTATTATTATTATTATTTGTGGTTACCAACTGACTAAAATTAATATTATTTTCCTAAAATAGGTGGGGTATATTTTGCACAGATAGATACTTAGCCCTCGTTAGGCCTTCATTCTTTTCAAATTTTAATGGTTGAAATAATGTTTTTTTCAAAAATAAGTGGTTGAAAAATAATGATTTTTTTTTTTGTTTGCGCGTAATATTATTTTATGAAAGATTATGTGATTGAAAATAAGAAAGAAAAAAAGAATGAGAAGTAGAGTACAAAACAGAATAAAATAAAACCATACCTTTTATTTTCTTTTTTAAAATTTGATCTGGATCTTGTTCCATTCTCTATGTTCATTGACAAACAGCGAGGCATGTTAATCAATATCATCGACATTTTTCTTTATTAAAGTTGATGCACGCGATCTAAACGTTCTAAACATAATATAAATTTTGTTATTTACAAAACATGTCTAGAATTATAAACTTATCTTGTGTCAATGTCATAAATTTGTTGTCTAAAAGGATATCCAACGAAAATTACCGGTTTTCAACGAGCGTCAAATTTATGTTTGCGAGGTGAGTGATTATGAACAAAATAAAGACACCCAAACAATCTCAAATGATATAAGTAGGTGGTTTTTCAAGTATCACTTCATGGGGAGTGCCATTGAAGACATGTGAAGGAGTCTTGTTAATTAAGTAGACTGCATTAATTAAGAACACACTCACCCCGAAAACTCAACGGAAGACTACTTTGATATCTCAATGTTTGATCAACACAAGTAAATGAAGATGTTTTTCTCAACGACTCCATTTTGTTGTGGGGTAACAACAAAACTACGTTGGTTCATGAAAATCGCCACATGGTTTAAAGAATTCCTGTAAATCCTTGGTTAGAATTCATTAGCAGCGTGAACACCTTTGAAAAGTAGAATATAATTCATCAGTGGAAACAACGTTGGTTTGTATTTTTTTTACCTTAGTGTTGTACTGGTTTGAAACAAATGAGAAAAAAAGGATTTTAAAGTTGATTGCATTTCAGATTATATTTCATGAAGAAAATCCACGTAGGTACAACGACTAAAATCATCCACAGTACTCATAAAAATTAATGTGCACCAGAATTACTATGAGTAGCAAAACCACTCCAGTTATCACAGTGGATCAGTTCAAAAGGATAATCAGTTTTGACATAACTTGAAGAAAAATGAGTTCTTGAATGTTATTTCAAAAGACATATATCATACATTATTTCTTCAGGATCTAAAGAAGATAAAGAATTTGATCTGCTAACTGCTGGGTGACCCAATCGCCATTGCCAAATGTGGAACGAAGGCTTCACATTAGCACAAATGCTTGCTGTGATCTTTGATACTGATATTAAATTGAATTTAAATCGAAGGAGTTGAGCTGAGGAACACATATTATTCATTGCCTCATTATCAATTATCCAAGAAATATTATAGAAAGAGCTAAGGACATACCTGCAAAATTAGTTAATCGATCGTTTCTACCTTGCTGCAGGATGTGTAGAATTTTACCATATTGCTAGTGTGGTTGTATGTCGAAATTAAAGCAAGTACACGTAGAAATTTTATCATATGAATTCTATCGAAGCCACATATATGTAGAAATTTTATCATATTGCTATTGCATAATTATCAGTAATACTATTCATGTTGAGACC